TTTGAATTGTTCATTTTAAAGATTGATAATTTAAAATGAAACCCGAAATTTTGATAAGCATGTTTCATTCTAATTGTGTACATGTAATAGATAATTCACGTTGTCAGTAATAGTACGCTTGTCAAAAATGGAAACCATTTTTGTAGTTTTTCTTGTTTGTCCCTTTGAGTCGAGCACAATTATTAGGGTATTAGAGCATCTTCAATGGTGATGTAAAATTGAGTGTAAATTTATATTTCTAAAATCACTTTTGCATCTTTATTTACATTCTGATGGATCTAAATTCAAATTATACTTCAATGAAAAGATCTAAATTCACTCTTTGACTCTTGTTGATATAAATATATCTTTTTTTACATTTTCTATGGAAAAATGCAATTTACATTTCATTTGCATCTCTCCATTGGAAAGGTTTTCGATCACTTTGTGATACATCACCAATTGAAACAACCAACGGAGAACGAGAAACAAGTTTACAAAAAAGAAGAAATCAGAGGCAGAAATAGCAGAAAAATAAAACAATAGAAGAAGGAAAAGAAGAATATGGAAAATGGGGAAACTTTGGCAACAAACCACAATTCATTTTATTCATTCATCGTCTGCGTTTTGTTTCTAATCCAAAACCACATAAATAACCAATTAAACAAACCTAAAATAAAGGGGCTTGGACCAACCCATAATACAAGTCCAATAACAAAAAACATAAATAAGAGTCCAAAACAGAAAAATAAATCTTGATGGATGTCTGCATCAACTCTCCTGGGGTACGAGAAAAATTTGATCATGTCAAGTGGATAAATCAGAAGAGGCTAAAGTCAATCTTTCAACCGAAAACTAAGTGGTAGAACAAGGTTCTTTCGATGCCCATAAAAGCGTTTAAGTGGAGGTCTAAATCTGGTGTCCCCACCAACTCCCCTTAAATAGGCGGAATGCGTTTTGGGCAACAAAAGTTCCTCCTGGCTCCGATAGAGCTTCAATAAATTTAGGTCAAGCTGCTGGAGTGTCAATCTGGAAATCCTGGTACAGTCAAAATTGGGTCGATCAATCCAACAAAAAAGGAAGTGCTGAACCTCTCTATTATTAATCAACACAATTTGTTTATATAAAATAACACCAATTTTATCTTTGTGTGCTGTGAAACGTTATTGGGTTAGAAGTGGCAAGAAATTCAGGGTCAAGGTACGTAGATGGGGGATAAGAGGATCGTCGAGGGATTGAAATGACATTTATAAGCAACTAAGTCCTCAACATTGAAAATATAGTGGTACCTAAGATTGGTGGAAGATCAATAACATATGCATTTGTGCCAATATGCTTCAAAATTTTAAAAAGGCTGCACTATGGGCTTGCAATTTGGAGACGGATCCAGGGAGACGCCACTCCAGTCTAATTCAGACATAACATAATCCCCAATATTATACTCAACATGTCATTTATGCAAATCAACTTGAAATTTATATGATGCATTACCGACTTCAAGTTTATTGATTTCAATATGTAAGTCATAAAGATGTTATGCAAATGCCTCATCGACACAAACACTCTAGCATGTGGGGACAGGTGAATGAGATCTAAAGGCTTCCTAGGCTTATAACCACGAACGAATTCAAAGGAATTCATACCTAACGATCGATTCATATAATTGTTATGTGCAATTTGAGTTGTAGGAATAATCAAATCTCAATTTCTAAGATTTCTTGGGACAAACATCTTAATAAATTACCAAGATTACAGTTAACCACTTCCTTTTGATTGTCAATCTAATGGTGGTATGCAGTAGAAAATTTCAATTTAGTACCAACCTTTTGCCACAAGGTTCTCCAAAAGTAACTGGTGAAACACACATCTCTATTTGATATAATGGTCTTAGGCAGACCATACAATTTGACAATCTCATTAAAGTACAACGTGGCAATCTTAGATTCATATGAGGTGTTGCTTAATGGGATAAAATGAGTCATTTTCGAAAAATGATCGAATACCACAAAAATAGAATCATGCTTCTTTGGGATGCGTGGAAATCGTAACATAAAATCCATACTGACATCTTGCCGAGGACAATTAGGGATAGAAAGATGTGTGTATAGACTAATGTTTTTCTTATTTTGTTTGACCAACTGACAGGTGTTACATTTACTATCTTAGCCATATCTTTTTTCAAAATATGCCAATAGAATTGACGTTTAATCTTCTCTATGGTCTTATCACGTCCAAAGTAACCGACTAAGCCTACAGCATGAATTTCCCACACTATAAAGTCTCGCACTGAAGTTAGAGGGATGAAAAATTTATTGGTTCTAAAATGGTAACCCTCCTTGAGGAGAAAACCACCAGTAGAATCCGACCATCCACATTGCAAAGAAAGAAAAATATCCTTGAAATCGGGACAGGTTTCGTACGGTTCCTTAAGTCTTTGAAAACCTATGACCTTGACACTCATGACGGACAAAAGGGAGATACAACGATTGAAAGTATCAGCTACTTGGTTCTTAACACCCTTCTTATATTTCAAAACAAAAGAAAAACTTGCAAATATTCAATCCAACAACCATGCCTAAAATTATACTTTTTTTGGGAGTTGTGACCAATAATTTGATAATTTGTGACCATGAAATAAGTTTCGATTTATAAAATTTATGATTTGTAACCGAAAATAATATGTGAACAATTAATTTATTTAATTTGTGATCAAGAAATAAGTTGTGACCTATAAAATTTGTGATTTGTGATTGTGACGTCTGTAGTCATGATTAATACATAACTATGACCATAAATTATATAATATTGTCACCTTAATGTATTTAATTAATAAAATATTTTTTAATAACTATTTAATATCTCTTATTTCTTAGATTAGGTGATTATTCACACGTAATTTCTTGTTTATGAAATTTGCCCTTGGTCATAAAATTGTCTTTAGAAAACTTAGTCAAACTCAAAATCCTATGTCCTGCTTCAAGATGATTTGTGAAAATTTAAAAATTAATTATTTTTACACCATAATTTTAATTATCAGCATTACATTTTAATTTAAATGAAGATCATTAACTTTTACTTGCTCATTTTCATACTTAAGTCCCCAAATTTTTTCTTTGTAATTATATTATTGACCTTCTATTAATTAGCATATTTTGACCCTGGCGGTGACCAAATTAAAAAATACGTTAGGAGGAAGTAAAAGACTTATTTGCCCCTCACATTTTTAAATTAGTAAGATAACTAGAATTAGTGCCTGTGATGGGAGAATTTTTCATCAATTTTGTACTGAAAATCATACCACTAACGCGGTAGATGTAGCAACAATTATTGACCAATTTCAAGTAGAATGATCAATATGCCCTTTTAACATTTAATTTTTCTTTAGAAAATGATAATTTTGGCATTTTGTTTCATATGGAGTCAAAAACGACTGCGCAAATGGCGACCAATACATTTGCAACGATCATAAAATGGATTAAAAAGTCCAAAATTGCTCCCGGACAGGGGCTTAGTCAACTACAAAAGTCCGACAAAAAGTTTTTTCTCACGCTAACAAAATATTTGGACATAAATCGTCATTACAGACAAAAGGTGGTATTAATTAATTTAATATTAAATATTAGAATACGATTAAAAAAAAAAGTTAAAACTACAAGTGTTAAAATAATTATAAATTGAAGACCTTTATTACAATTAAATGTGATGCAATTAATAAAATTAGACAGTATCTATGTAGCTACATTCTACCTAGTATCAGAAGTTCGGAAAACATTTTTAGTTGGTGAGGCATTGCATTCACGTGTATTCATCTCCTCTCTTCAACTATCCCACCTTACTTTTCACTATCGTGAATCATATGAGCTTTACGATATTCCGTGAAACACGTGACCTTCTTTATAAGCTAATTCCCTTAACTGTCCTCGACCCAAATCAACAGCTTTTTATCGCTATATTTTTTCTATAAAATAAGTAATTAAAATTAATTATAAACTTTAATTTAAATTAAAATTTAGATTTAACCTACATCAAATATGATTAATCAAAATTCTTTTTTTTGTATAAGTGTAGTCCCAAAATAAAATAGAGCCATAAATGGGAGGGACAAAGTTGAAAAGACTTGACTCGTGCCTTTTTCCCTCGAGGATTATGCCACTTCGTTTTTATAAAATGATAGAAATGTAAGTGACATCAGATGATAAAATCGAACCATAAGTGGGAGGGACAAAGTTGAAATTTGAAAAGACTTTACTCATGCCTTTCCCCTCAATTATTTCCCAAAATGTATCTTTGTACACAAGCAATTGCATGATCCTCCAAAAGCATTAGTTAATGGATTCCGTACATAAGGAGGTTATATCAATGAATCAAATCTTCCCACTACCTTTTAGCTTTCTTTAAAATCAAAAATTTAAAATCAATCTTTTACCTATAAATTTGCTTATTTTAGGTATGGATCGACGTTAATCTTAAATTTTATATAGTTCATGTTTGATCTTCGTTTTTTCTCAAATTCAATTTTAACCAGACATTTCATGAAATTCACAATTTTTATTAACTTTTCAATAACATATTTCATCAATTTTTTTTTTTTTAATCAAAATCTATTAAAATTTTGATATTAAACATAAGCAAAATCAAAATCAATCCTATTCCACGCATCATGTTAAAAAGTAGAATCACAAAATTTTTTGCTTATTTTTCTTTTATCAAGTTTCAAAATAAGTCGGTTAACAAAGTATCATGGATATTCACCAAGCACGTGGCTTGTACATAATTCAAGTGCACCCACTTAAGAATAGATGAAAACGAATACCATAACATAGCAAACCCCACATAAAAACAAAATCAGGATTTGTTTGGCTAAGGATGTAAAAAGCTAATCCATTTACAAAAAAAGCTAAAGGAGAGGGATATTCCCTTTACAAGAACAACAAAAGTTGAACCATATCTTCTCATTCCTTCTATTTTTTTCCCTCACATCCTAATATAATAGCTAAGATAATTAATTTAAGATAAAGATGCTAGAACTCTCTGGGATCAACAAAAATTGAAAGACCGGGTCGCGACTTTGTCCAATCACCAATAGAGCCGTCACCGTAGTCTTCCCCTAACCGTTTGATACACCAAAGATCTTCCGTGCACGATAGCTTCTTCCAATATGGAATTCCTAACCTGAGTGGTTCGCAACTTGCCACTTCTGTTGCCACCACACCACACCCGCACTCTTTACCTAGGTTGTGCGCAAATCGACATAGGGCTTTCACGAACTTCGCCGCATATGGTCCTTGCCCGTAAAGCCCATACAAGAAATGAAGCCCAAATGGCCTGAAAACCTCAGGCACTGATGGCAGTTTTAGCCATGGTAAAGCCCGGTCCACTAACCGAGTCGTCTTAGCAAAAACTTTGCATGCCCACGACGCTCCTTGTAGCTCGAGTTTGAAAACGTCCTTGCAGTTCCATACGCTGAGTACAGCCCATGACTCGGGTTGAGTCGCCAAGAATTTTTCAATACCCGGCCATGACTCGCTATCACACCACCAATTCGGCACAGCAAGAAAAGTGCCCAGATTGAGTTTATTGTATAAAACCGAGTCAATGTCGCGTGGGAAGAACTCGGTGGTGGAGAAACAGAACCTATAAAGAGTTCCAGCATCGGATGGACTGAGTTTGATGATCGAGACTCGCCTAGTGACTCGGACTTTGTGCTCGAAAACAGGCTGGACCAAGATGGACGGGGTACGAAACTTGGAATAGCCACATTTTTCAGTGAAGAGCTTAACAGATGGCTGGTTGTCCTTTTCAGTGGCTATGTACGAATACTCAGCACCATTAGCTCTGAACCACTCCTCCATAGTATTCACCAATTTCAAACCAATTCCGATTCTCCTGCAGAACCCAGAACAAGAAATTGAGACTGTTACTTATTTTGCCGAACATGATTTTTAAATAGAAAGTAAGAATGAAAATACGTGGTACCTATAAGGAGGAGCCACACGTAGGCCTAAGATATAGGCAAGTTTGGTGTAGACAGGGAGGGGCATCAAGTTTTTGCCGTTTCTGGATAGCTTTTTGCCACAAGTAACGGTTTTGATGCAACCCCTTATCATTCCTACAATTTCTGTCCTTTCATTTTCTTGACTTTTGCTCACCACCATTTCCGCCACCTGAATCAACGATTCAAAATTACCCTATTTTGATGAAATAACTGAACGATGAAATGAAATTTCAAGTTAATGGTAGCTATACCAGCATGAGATAGGCAGGGGAGTGGCGGACCCTGCAAATAGGATCACCCAAGAGATCAGTGAAGAGGGAGATTTTGCCACTTGGGCCAATCTCACAGTTTCTCTCTACTTCTTCTGCTGCTCTCTGATCCTTTTTAGCATCAAATTCTCTCACAACCACCATTTTTTTCTTGATTTAGAAACAGCTAACTACTAACACTCTAACCTCTGGTGAGTTCACACTTCCCACTCAAGAACATTTATATAGGCTATTTTTTTGGGCCCTCTCCCCCCCCCCTCTAGAATTCCCTCACCCCATCCCACTACTCTCTATCTAGATTTTATTTTTTGTTTATTTCTGAAGCTTTTTACAAGTCTCTATCCTGTATATACGTGTGTGTTTGAGGAATATTACCGAGAAAAAAATGTATTTTAAATATTGATATGATTGAAATATGTGGTTAAAAAGTAGAATAATGAAAAATTATTGATGTGATGAAAAGTATTATTTTTATTCAAAAATGTGTGATTGAAAATAAATTTTAAAATAATTTATTTTAAAAGAATGTGGGCCAAACATAGACATATATTACTTTTTATTTCGTCTTCTCCTCTCCCCCTCTCTCTGCCCTTAATAATTGGTAATTATTACTAATGATTTTTAATTTATGGGAAGATGAAGGAGAAATGGCGGCCGTGACCGCTCAGCAGTAAAGTACTATTATTGTTCTCTCTGTTTTCAAATTTTAATAATTTATTTGGATGGCATTATTCCATTACATGTACATAACGTGAATGATATTTATGTACGCGGATTCTCATGCAGTTGTCCCCATACTCTATAATAGTACGTTTTATTCTTCATGTCTGTTGTACAATCATAATCAAATACTTTGGTTTAATTAATTGAAATGAATCTAACTAATGGCTAGTTCAACCATAATACTAACTGATTATTTGACTGATTCAATAACAACAATCCCTCCCTAAGTTTTGGAACATTCAAACTCTCAAATTAAATTCACTAAAGTTTAGAAACCCATTTCTTTACTTTTAAAATGTTGCCAATTTCAGGAGTTCGGTAAAAACGTATATCAGCAACCTAGTTTTCAGTTCTACGATAAAATTGTTGAAAAATATGGCTTAGTCAGCCATTTTTGGCCTAATTTTGAGTGGGATCCGCTCGATCAATTTGGAAGATCAAAGTTGATTCATGTTCTCATTCGTAAGAATATCGAAATCATATATTTACTTGTCAAAAATAATAGTTGGGTGAATAAGAAATTGAAACTCAAACTTGGTACATTGGAAGATCGTTTTGTGTTGAAAGGAAAACTTTGTGTAATTTGTCTCACGTAGGAAAATGAACAAAGCAATGAACGCTTTATATATGATTAGACATTGAAATTGTATAATCATCTATAGCATAGAAGCTCTCTCCACATTTGCACAAATACCATATAAATCAAAGACCGAATCAGAATTTCGAATCTTGAACTTGTTTGTGTATACGAATGTCGAACCGGACGGGGGCAAAAATTGGCCCCTTAGAAGTGTCCACATCATGCTTTTATTTTCGATAAATTATTTAATTTTAAGATTACATATTTACACGGTGTTGTTTCGTGTTCGGTTTCGTTCTCAAATAATAACAATTTTATATTCTGTTGGGACCCTTTGAACTCACGTATTGTGAGAAATCGGAAGAGATCAATGGAGTAATATGAAGTATTGATCGCACACCAAACAAGAACAAGATTTAAAGTAAAGAAAAGAAAAAAAATTGACAGATGAACTGATATTTTATTAAACAACCAATGGAGAGAAAATACAATTTCAAAAATTTTTTCTCTCAAAAATTGAATGAAGAGTCTACTATTTATAGAGAAGATGTCCAAACCAAAGATGGAAACAAGATAAAAATAAATCACGTGAAATAAAGAAAACAATATTTTCTCAATATTTTTTCAATAAAATACGTGAAATAAAGGAAATAATATTTTTTCAAATACGTGCAAAGAAGGAAAAATATATTTCCAAAAATTCCATCTTAATTTGGATCACAAATTCAACAATCTCCACATGACTCATATTTCGGTGCAACGAACAAAACTCTAAAATTTCTTCACCTAGAAAAATAAGTCCAACTTCATTAGAATAAACTAATCTCTTCATTCAGTACAAAAACTCTCCACCTCACCAAAAACATCATCTCTGCCCAGTGTCCACAAGCGACAACTGAACCCAACCTCGGGTTCCCAAAATTCCAACAAAGAATTCAACAAATACCAAACAGGGTCGAAGCATACCCTGTAGCAGAATCCATACCAAATGCTTAAATTGAAGGCCCCTTGCTAGAACTGCTACTTCCAAACACCCCGAAAACATGATCACACATATCTGAAACTCGGTACCTATGCTCCGTGAGTCCTCCCCTAGCAAATAACTCAGAGCCCAACACGAAAGGTACTGTATCAAACTGAATCTCTTCCACGATACCAAATATGTCCAGATGTCTCTTCACTGGTTCTGTGCACCCCTGCAGGATGTAGAGTTGAGAACTCTTTCGTCTTTCCAGCACAACATGATGACCCTTTTGGACCTTCAAGACTCCACCTCTATCGGAGAATATGTACCCATTAAAATCCATGGTACTCAGCGAGATGAGATTCTTCCTTAAGTCTGGAACATGCCAAACTTGGCCAAGAACTCGAACTATCCCATTCAATAACCTCAATCTGACCCGACCAATTCCAGTAATCCTACAAGATTGGTTATTTCCCCTGACAACTCCACATTGTTTCACCGTTTCATATGTTTTAAACCAAGCCCTATTGGGATACATATGGAATGAACATGCTGAATCGAGAACCCACTCCTCATTTGGCTTAGAGTCCATGTCAGATACGGTCAGCACCACATCCTCGCCATCCAAAAATCTCTAGGTATGCTCGTCTAAATGATCAGATTGCCTTCTTTGATTTGCAGATAAATTACCCTTACTATGCAACTTGTCGCAATCCTTTTCTATGTATCCTTTTCTCCTGCAGTAGAAGTAAACCTAATTGATAAAATTCACCCTCGACCTACCCCTTCGTCGATCACCGTACGAAACCAGAGCTTCCTCATCCTTAGCTCCAACGATATGCTTCATCTTCTCCTTTGAAAAAAAAAGCATCATATGCATCGTCAATGGTGAGTATGTTACGACTGTACAAGATCGTGTCCTTGAACGACGAATACCAACATGATCAATGCCAGATCCTCTTCATCATACTTGACTTCCAACATTTTCAGATTAGCAAAGATTTCCTTGAACATGACTAGATAGTCCTCCAAAGAACACCTTGCTACCATGCGATGAGAATAAAGTCTCTGCTTCATATGCAACTTTCTCGTCAATGTCTTCATCATGCACATTTGCTCTAATTTTAACCACAATGCAGCAGCTGATTTCTCCTTAACCACCAAATGAATCATAGACATCGCATCCGATCCTTCCGTTGTTTCTCCTCTATTGTCGAAGTTGTTGGCATTTTATCAAAACCTAACAGAGCATCGTCTAAATCCATTTGTGCCAGAATTGCTTTTATCTTTACTTGCCATAGAGAAAACATTATTTTGCGATCCAAAAGTGAAATGTCATACTTCATGGCACCCATCGAAACTATAAATCTCAAATAAATTCAACAACCTATAACTCTAATACTACTTGTTGAGACCCTCTGAACCTACGTGTTGTGAAAAATTGAAAAAGATTAATGGAGCAATATGAAGTATTGATCGCTCATTAAATAAGAATAAGATTTAAAGTGAAAAAAATGGCTGAGGAACCGATATTTTATTAAACAACCAATGGAGAGAAAATACAATTTCATCAATTTCTATTCTAAAAAACTGAATGAACAGTTTACTATTTATAGGGAAGATTTCCAAACCCAAGATGAAAACAAGATAAAAATAAATCACGTGAAATAAATGAAAAAAATATTTTCCCAATATTTTTCCAATAAAACGTGTAAAATAAAGCAAATAATATTTTTTCAAATACGTGCAAAGGAGGAAAAATATATTCTCAAAAATTCCAACATAATTTGGGTCACAAAATTCAACATATTCTGCAATAGTACTTCTTCCGTTCTTAAATTATATCATTCTACAAATCATTTCGGATAACAAAAATAAAATCAACATGTAAAAAGTGATGCTTTGCTTTAGATGAATGTGCTTGTTTGTTCCATGTATAGTGGAATTCTTAGAGAGTTATATTGCTAAAATGTCGTCATTAAGCCCTTGTTTGAACCACATTATTTCCACAAGAACACATTTTTTTGTTTGATGTGATGGTGAATATGTGGTTGAAAAAGAAGAAAAAGTTATTGATGTGATGAAAAATATTATTTTATTGAAAAATGTATGGTTGAAAATGAGTAAAAAAATGTGAATAAAAAAATAATGTGACTCAAACATGAGCATAATATTATTTTGGATTAATATTAGAAAACCCCTCTAAAAAGTTTCCATTTGTAATATACCCCATACTTATTGGAAATCGTAGAAAATCCCACTATTTGAAACATTTTGTGCGAAAAGCCCCCATACCGTCAGATTTTCTGTTAAAAATAATCAAAATGTCAACATTTAAAAGTAATAATTACAATTTTAGTTTCCAAACTTTTTATTCTTTTACAAATTATACCCAGTTCTTTTTTTCTATACC